AGAGAGAGAGAGAGAGAGAGAGAGAGAGAGAGAGAGAGAGAGAGAGAGAGAGAGAGAGAGAGAGAGAGAGAGAGAAGGAATATAGGAGACACTGCGACCTTCAGCAGCAGGAAGGGCAGCCTACAGGACAAGAACCTCAGCTTTTGTATTATTGTAAAATCTGGGACGCTGGACCCAGTTTCCAGCAGGTGCGGCTCCCCAGCAATAGACGGAGTCTTCATCTGAGGGACCACTTGAGGAGGCTGCTCTTATCACCTCCAAAAGTGACTCCCTCCTGCGAAGTTACCCCTCCCCACCCCCAAAAAAAGGGGCAAACTGTGGCTGTGGCACTCTTTCAGTTTGAAATAGGCAAGACAGGTGCAGCTCCCCCGCAATAGACAGAGTCTTCATCTGAGGGACCACTTGAGGTGGCTGCTCTTATCACCTCCTTAGGTGGGTCCCTTCTGCGAAGTTACCCAAGACAAAACAAAAAAGGGGAAACTGTCGCTGTGGCACAAATAGGCAAGAAAAGACAAAAGTGACGCTGATGTCAGGGGTGGAGTTTCGAAATGTGCAAGTTTAGCGGGGGTCTAAAACTGTGCCAGTCATTACCCTAATTTACCTGCAGTGGCGCTCGGCAGATTTAGGGTCCCCTTTTTTGCTCCATTTCGGGAACTGTTGCCTAATCTGAACGTCGGGTGTGTCCCCCCCTCCCCCCTCTGAAAAAAAAAAAAAAAAAAGTACACATGAGTCACCATGAAAATGAATGACTGTCCTTCAGGAAAATCCGTTAAAATTGGAAAGGTACACATGATCTACCTCGTCTGCGAGGCCCTATGCCTGCAGGGGTCCCCTCTATGTAGCCAGTCTTAGGGCCCGTTAGACCCTCGTTCAAAAATCCTTAGTGACTAGGATGTAGTCCTTGGAACAAGTTTTGGATTGCTGTCGTCGCTGCACCGTGTCCTAATTCGGTGGGTTCAAAGGTCCAGTGGCGGCTATGGGGAGGCCTACCAGGCTGAAGAATAAAAAAGGGTCCAACATCCCGGTTCAAATTTTGAATTTCGAACCCTCCGTTGTGACGCATCCGTGCCTGAGGCGTCCTGGCGGTTGGACTGGAGACTGGGGCGAAACGTTTGTGCGGAGGAGTAATGGCAGCCATGAGTTAAAAGGCGGGCATTGGAACGTTGGGCGACGTAGCATGTATGCGTAAGGATTCTCTACTGCGATGTCGCCTTTGTGCTTCACATGCTTTTTGGGCCGTCACAGCCGAGCATGAATGTTACGCTTCCGTGAAATGTGGAGAGTACGAGCGCGGTCCCCATTGGTGTGCAAAAGGTGCAGCGAGGGCGCCGATGGGCGAATGAGTGGTGGGCGCTTGCGCATTGCGAGTCCTGACGATGGAGGGACGACTTCCAGGTGATGGGAGAAATATAGTGGCCGCAACTGTGTTAGCCGTCGCCATGCGTTGTCGCACTGAGAGTACGACAAGTTGCCTGATGATGAGATTGTTCGTTCACAGGGAGAGGCAGCTGATGCAACAAGAGATGGATGCACCCGATTGTGTGTCGTTATCAGAATCCATTGTGCAATTCTGTTGCACCAGCACGTCAGGTGTGATCTTGCGGGCGACGCCGAGATGGTGGACGAGGAGAAGGACGGGAGGGACATGGGAGGATCTCTGACAGGTTAACGATGCGGCAGAGGGCTGCTACAAGGAAAAGTTGCGGATGTCCCTAGAGTGTTCGGGGAGATCGTCAAAGCGGTGTCCCTTGTTGGAGATCCCACCTGTCCATCGTCGTTTTCCTCACTTGTTCATCGTCGTCTTCCTCATTGTTCGTCGTCTCCGTCTGTTGCCTGGACCCCCTCGCAATGGTGCAGACGTGGAACAACACAACAAGTAGCAGGAGAAGAGTGGTTAGGAGAAGGAGCGGGAGCTGCCGAAGGATGTCTGCCACTGGCATGAATCACAACACTCGAGGCGTGTACCAAACAAAGCTTGCATCAATGAGCTTGACAATAGCCGACAAAACAAGCTAGGCAGATGACTGCAATCGGCCAATAGTGCTTCAACATCGCTTGTAGAAAAATTGAAAAATTCGCTCGTTGGACACCACGGCCGACGACATGAGCATGAAAAAACCGTGCTTTGTGAAGCGCCTTGCAACTGAAGAACCACCCCGAGCCCACGCATTTCCGCACCAATGGTAATGGTGGAAGGCAGTTGGGGGCCCGTCGGGTACTGGAGGCCAGCGATGTCCGTCCACTGGACCACGAACGACATGTGCACCAACATCAACTCCAAATTCTCTTGTCGGTGCTTGCTCCATAACACTCAATCAATCACGACTCCTTTAACCGAAGGGCGATGGGACCTTGGAGGATCCCTTGTATCCAACGACATTTTGGCTGGGGATTTCGAAGAACCCAAAGAAATCTCTTGGGAGTGTTTTCACATTCATTTAAAGAATTTGGTGAATTAGGACGTGATGTAATGATGTCGATTTCCAAGGAGGGTCTAACGAGGTCCTCGAACTAGAATGACTAAAAGCATTAAACACAATCATACCTGATCGGTGTTCGCGATGCTGCGTTTCGGCAACAGCCATGTTGCCACCCGCCATCCTCAACGGTTATCTCCTTTTCCCCTCGTTCACATCAACGTACGTTCCATCCAACCCGCTTTCGTGTTACCCATCATAGACACTCCGGAATACCAGTGAGTGATTACCGTTTTGAAGTCCTGAAAGATGTAGACACCTGTGCATGCATCAGATTATCCCCGTATCTAGATGGAAAGCCGTCCCGAATACAGCTTGCTGCAATGACCAGATGTAGAAAATCTGGCCCGAATACAGCTACAATGACTGGGCGTAGAAAAACAGTAGTTAAGTAATACTACCGGGACGACGTTGTCCCTTTCCTATTGTCTGCAAACCAGTCGAATTTTACCAGAGCTACCGTTTTCACTTGAACACAATGCCCGGTCATTGCAGCGTCATTTGGGGCAGCCAACTTTCGGTCTAGATATGGGGATAATGACAGGGCGTTCTGTTCGGGTGAAGACAATGGTCGTTCAAGTTATAAAAGCCAAGTAAAGATGCGAATGAAAAAAAAAAAGAAAAAAAAAAAGTACTCGCTGTGACGGGTTACAAGTCCTGTGCTAATTGAAAATCAAGTCACTTGTATAGGCTTAGGAGTAGAGGTATGTAGACATTGAAAGGTTAAATTGAGAGAAAAATATAACTTAGTTAAAAAAAAAAAAAGTACGTCATTTCTTCGAGGCACTCTAAATCCTTGTAGACCAAATTATTTCTTAGGTAACGGTGTCACACTTTTTCTAGTCGGGCCTCTTCAGGCGACCAGAAAGCCAACAGGCTGTCAAGCAGGATTTGGATGACGTTTGCAATGAATAAAATAAATTAAATAAAGCAAATCCCTTCCTGTTGTGTGCGTTCGGTGTCGAGCGAGACCCTTCAATTATGGTTTTCGCCGGTCTTAGGAATCTTTTATTTTGATTCGGAACAACAAAGAATCATGCAAATAATAATAATAAAATTCTGATATGTCTTGCATGCATCAATCCTGCCAATTTACTACTTTTTGGGAACCGTCATAGAATCGTCAGAGAAAAGCAATAATCAGCAACGACAATGCAAGAGGCAAGACTGACTGACTCGAGCAATGACAAAATCAAATGAGGGAAGAATGTGAACTCATAATAGTCTGTGAAAGCACGCATGTAGAGAGCATGACCAACACTAGTCAGGAGTCCTCACTCATCCCTCTGAACCTCTCACTTAGTCTTTCATTTTGCTGTCTGACTCTTGTGCTTTAAACCATGTCTCCGTACTCTCAGAGGCTATGGTATCTGGATGTAGAGGCACCTGAAACTTGCAAGCTCTGAGCACTTCCAGCCAAGTCCCATGATACGAAAATCAACCATAGCATAAAACTTTCCCCATATTGTAGGAAGATAAGGTCGAGAGAAAATCCCTCGTCGGAGATGCTGGAACTCTCACGGCTCAGTCACTGCCTCGTAATCGATCTTTGCAAGAGAGATATACCTCTTGGCCAGACCTACCAAATCTCCCCAGCAAGAACCGTCAGTGAGAGTGAAGGGTACTGGAGGCTTGGGGTAATCAGTATAGAGCTTCGGCCTGAAGCTGCGCTGTCGTTCGTGCGCTCCTCTTCATCTTCTTCGAGGTGGAATCCGGCCCTTCAGCAACTTGGTTAAGGCCCATTCCCGCGCCTTTTCCTCCTCCGTTTTCCCCTTCTCCTCCTCGGGCACCTCCAAAAGACGATCATCGCCCTCCTCCGCATCCGGAAGAAACTCGAAGAACTCCGCCCACAAATCGACGTAGTGATGGTCCTTTAAGTTCTTGCTCGCCCACAACAGATTCGTGTTCCAATGAATGTACACAAGCTTCTCCACGGTCGCGGGCTTCAACCGATTCCGTCGCTTGGAGTGCACCAAGTCCATGGAGGGCCAATTACGCTCCGCCGGAGTTGCAGTGCTCCACATGCCCATCACTTTAATAGCAATGGCCTGCAACTTCGGCACATCGCCGCCATGTGCGGGTCGAGAAGAAAAGTCAGCGCATGCACCGGTCACTGCATCATCTTCATGCGGTCCCTCACCTTCTCTAGCACAGAACTTCGTCGCTCCGGTGTCAGCACAACCTCCGCCAACATCCTCTCCATGAGTCGGTCGTACTTTACAAGGTTTGACGGTGCAGTCGCATCCTTGTCCATCCTCCGCAGTAGGAGATACAACGACTCCATAATCTCCACCACCTTCCTTAGCTCCGTCCACCAAGCATCCCTCCGCATTGTGAAGTACACGAGATCCGCTTTCGCTTGTAGCTTCGCGCTCGACCACCGCATCGCCTTCCATTTCCCCACATTCGTCGCATCCACCATGTCCTTCAAAACTGCCATCCGGTTGTGTATCCGCTCCAGCATCTGGTACACCGACCGAACTGACCTCAGTCGGTCGCAACAGCGTCAATGATGAGTCTAAACTCATCATGAAACTGTTAGTCGTGTGGTGATTCCTGATAAATTTGACGATGGTGTGGCCCCGCTTCGTCGTGCCCTTTACCCACTCCAACTTGCTGATGTCCCTTAGCAGCAAGTTGCAGCAGTGTGCAACACATGGAACCCCAGGTATCCGTGCGTCATTCCAAAATTTGAGCTGCCCTCTTGTTCACCTCCGCGTTGTCAGTGCAAATCGCGTTGATGCGTTGCAGCCCGATCTCCCTTATTATTTTCTCCCATAGTTTTGCCAACGCTGCTCCCGTCTTCTTTTTGTCGTCCATGTACACCGTCGCCACTAGAACAGCTCGCTGCTCCCCCGCCGCTAAGAAGTTCATGACAGGCCGCTCCCTCCGATCGTTAGACCCGTCCGTGATGAAAGTGCAGCCGGTGACATCCCAACATTTTGTCAAAGGCTCCACTTGATTTTGAATGCGCATGAAAATGAACTAGAGCATGACAATCCGAATGTGCTTCGGAAACAACAACTTCACCTGCGGTTTGGCGTTTGGCGTTCGCCACCTCGAGATACATGTTGTGCAACTGCTGCATGGTGTCGAACTCCAGGAATTGGAATGCAATTCTGGCTCTGAACATTGCCTCCGCCCACGCAACATCCAACTTTTTGTGTGCCCCGTTGTCGACCCATCTCTTGATGGTCGTTTGCTGCATTGAAGATATCCTTGTGGTGGAAGCACCATCTTCTCCCGCCACCTGTCCCGCTGCAGTTTCTTTTCCCCGCTGCACCAGCTCCTCCACTGTCTCCCTCCCAGCAGCAACCGGCAGTTGTGGTTCCTCATAACCACGAGGTACAACCGCACTCTCGTCGTCTTCGTTCACAGCAGCCCCCTCCGCCGAAATGTTGTGAAGCTGCCGGTAATTTTGCAGAAGGTATTGTGTCTTCTTGTCCTTCGGCAGCACCTTCGCACCTTGGGCCACCAGCTTGTGCAATATCTTGCCTGTCCTGAAAGGGCAAGGCTTCTGCAATTTGAGGAAATGCTCAATGACTCTTGTGCTCGTGCCCCTGTAAACGGTCGAGCGTAGCTGACACCGTAGCCAATACTCTCCCCGCCCCTTCAGCACAGCCTCCTGACCTTGCTCCACGTGCTTCCACTCCTCCTTCTCGCCCTGCAGCTTTGTTTGCTTTCCCTCCGACTGTGGGACGAACAAGGATGGGTCCGTAGCCGGCGTCGAGACTTTGTCAACCACCCCCGACGAAGGTGCGCTCGAACTCGCAATGTCCTTCCCTCTACCCCCTCTTCTTTCCGGCTGCCTCCGGCTCCCTTCTCCACCAACTGCACCCCCTGCCCTGCTCCCGCTGGCCATGCTGCTGCAACCACGTCCTCCGCTTCCAATAAACAACTGATAAAATGGTAGGATGGACGGACGGAGGGATAATGCTTTACAATACCGAAGAAGAAGAAGAAGAAGAAGAAGAAGAAGAAGAAGAAGAAGAAGAAGAAGAAGATGATTAATGGATGGATGGCGAGATATTACGATGGAGGGAGATGCTTTACAATATCGTGATGTGGCGAGGGAAGGACGAAGGGACTATGGACCGAGGAAGGGATGGATCGAGGGAGGGAGGGAGGGATGGCAAGATGGGAGGGAGGGAAGATGGCTAGGGAGGGACGGAGGGACTATGGACCGATGGCGAGACGGGAGGGAGGGAGTGATGGCGAGATACTATGGCGAGGTGTGGATATGGGAGGGAGGGAGGGATGGCGAGATGGCGAGGGAGTGAGGGAGTATGGCGAGATGTGGAGATGGGATGGACTATGGTGAGATGGGAGCGAGGGAGGGAGGGATGGCGAGATGGCGAGGGAGGGAGGGACTATGGCGAGATAGGAGGGAGGGAGGGAAGTAGTATGGGAGTTTTTTTTTACCTGCCGCGCCTCACGCGACCTACCAAACGATGGACAAGATGGCGGTTGCACCAGGGCGGTATGGTGTGGTGGCGGGGTATGGCGACAGTCCTACAAGAAGAAGAAGAAGAAGAAGAAGAAGAAGAAGAAGAAGAAGAAGAAGAAGAAGAAGAAGATGGGCGGAAGAGGAGGAGGAGAGAAGAGGAAGGAGAAGAAGATGAGGGGGAGGCGGAGGAGAAAAGAAGAAGAAGAAGAAGAAGAAGAAGAAGAAGAAGAAGAAGAAGAAGAAGAAAAAGATGGGCGGAAAAGGAGGAGGAGGAGAGAAGAGGAAGGAGAAGAAGATGAGGAGAGGGCGGAGGAGAGAAGAAGAAGAAGAAGAAGAAGAAGAAGAAGAAGAAGAAGAAGAAGAGGAAGAAGAAGAAGATGAAGATGGGCGGAAAAGGAGGAGGAGGAGAGAAGATGAAGGAGAAGAAGATGAGGGGGATGTGGAGGAGGAGAGAGCGGAACAGTTTTTTTTTTTCCTTACCTGTCGTTTATCTCGCGACCTATCGCTGACGAATGGAACAAAAAAAAAGAAGAAAAAAAAGATAGTTGGAAGAGGAGGAGGAGGAGAGAAAAAAAACAGGAGGAGGAAGAAGAAGAAGAAGAAGAAGAAGAAGAAGAAGAAGAAGAAGGAGGGCGGCTAGGGTTACGGCGGCGGTGGAGGGGAACGGCGGCGCGGTATGCCATTAGGGTATGGCGGTCCAAGAAGAAGAAGAAGAAAAAGAAGAAGATGGGCGGAAGAGGAGGAGGAGGAGAGAAGAGGAAGGAGAAGCAGATGAGGGGGAGGCGGCGGAGGAGAGAAGAATAATAATAAGAAGAAGACGAAGAAGACGACGACGAAGAAGAAGAAGAAGAAGAAGAAGAAGATGCCGGCGGCGGCAGGGCGGTATTGTATGGTGGCGGGGTATGGCGGCGGGCTGCAGCAGCGGTCCTACAAGAATAATAATAATAATAATAATAATAATAATAATAATAATAATAATAATAAGAAAAAGAAGAAGGGAGGAAGAGGAGGACGAGGAGAGAAGAGGAAGGAGAATAAGATGAGGAGGAGGAGGAGCAGGAGGAGGAGGAGAGAAGAAGAAGAAGAAGAAGAAGAAGAAGAAGAAGAAGAAGAGCGGCGGCGTCAGGGCGGTAGGGTATGGTGGCGGGGTATGGCGGTGGGCTGCAGCGGCGGTCCTGCAAGAAGAAGAAGAAGAAGAAGAAGAAGAAGAAGAAGAAGAAGAAGAAGAAGAAGAAGA